TTAATGCTTGATCAGTGCGCAAATGTTTGATTTGCGTGAAAAATTTGCACTCTGGAGCTTTCATCAAATTCTTTCTGGTGCACAAAAATGCAACTTGAGCTGTGTAATATTTGAACAAATGAGTTACAAGGCCATGCTGCTCCCTAATTCACACAAAATAAACAGTCTATTGTTGAGTTGCATGCCTCCAAACTTTGCACGTTCATCGAATCAGACAAACTGTGCTTTCTTTCAGTCGTACTGCCTGTTCATTGAGTCAACATTTCCTCAACAGATCATGGTTGTTTCACATGCTTCCTCGCTGACCCACTGAGTAACAATCAAACCGAAGGCGGAGGATTTCACCATGGATTGGTGGTACAAAATAAGTGGTGTTGAAGGGTTGATTCTATTCACTTAACTGTTTGAAGCTGTTTGAAACCGTCAACAGCTGCACATTGGACGAAAAAAGCATTCCAGGTTTTGAACCCAGGGGCTGACGTTTAACGGGCTACCTTATTGAGGATATTCCGTATATGCAAACACCATGGTTCACTCACGAAGGGATGAAGTTCTACACGAAATAGCAAAACGATTCTTCAGCGTATACGGATCCAGTGTACAGTACAAACGTCTTAATCAAGGTGGTGAAAACAACTACACATCTATCTTGTCCCATCTTCAAACCTGTCCAGTATTGGTTTTATAACTTTATTAGATGACTTCACTGCCTTGTCCTCAAGTATAGCACACACGCCAACAAAAACCTCTGTACGGCCACAGCGTATAATAGTGGTAGGTAAAAGTGGGTGAAATGTGGTGCCGCATAAATAAGTTCTGTAATAGATGACAGCGTTTAAATATTGCTTACTTGCATTTTGACACAAACCGTCATCGTATTTCAATTTATTCAGACGTGGCGCTCCCCAGTATAACTTGCTCAGGAGTTACAGTAACCCACCATCTTACTGCAGACGTAAAACACAACCCACTGGACTCTGAAATCCTTTCGGAAACTAAAGCAACATCGTCATCATCATCAACAGCATGACATTAGTGTTCAACACCGATGCTTCATTTCTTTAAAACTAGAGTATCGCTACATGTCAAATGTTCAATTTGACACGTTTTTCCTTATTGCCGGCGATATTGCGGGGCATGAGTAGTTTGATGGAACTTGACAGTTGGCCGTTTTGCTGAGTATGGTCATGGACGGCTGAAAAAATTTCCAGACAGTTGTGCAGCTCAGCAACTAGAAAAACTACTAATGAAGGCTAGAGTTGTTGTCCCTTGTCCTTCGAAAACGAAATACTCTTGGGTTTTTGAATGAAACTGCGCCATATTGGGTTTGTGACAGCAACACAAAAATTTGTAGGACGACGACTTATTGCGCTTGCTTCTTCTCCCACTTAAAAGGATGGTTCGATCGGCAAAATATCTACACATTTCCCCGATTCTAATCTGTGCGAAGTCCAACATTACGTCAGTGATTATGACGAATAGCAGAAAACGTTTACTTTTGGCGTCGAAATAAAATAGTTAGATGTAACTTATTTTGGGGGAGACATACACACAATGAATAATCAAAGCAGTGTGGAATCTTTGAATACAATTTCAGTATTCCGCAGCACTGCTTTTATATTAACCCTATTATTATAGTCACTTTGAAATACCCTTTTACGTCATACAATTTAGCAATAGATAATGCTCCGGCAAAATACCCAGCTCCTGATGAGCCGCATTTTGTTTCATCTCGACCAGATCGGCGTTTGTTCAAGCAAGCCAGTCGTTTTTGGACCTGACGATTGTAGGAAAATTCATTGTTTAGAATCATATTTGTATCATCCCCTCTGAAACTTTACGGATCTTCTGTTGTAAAATGGAGTTATATTTGGAGCACATAAAAGTTTTCTAAAATTTTTCTAACAGGTATTGAGAGACTGGATTCGGCGACATTCCGAGAAACATTGTAGCCTGATTGTCACCTGTGATTGACAATTTGCCTCGAAACTTAAAGACTCATACCAAACAGCCATTTGGGGAAAATCGTATGGAAAGATCCCTGTCTGGATAAAACTGTTGGCTAAAATCCATGCTACGGTGTTATCTGGGCATTTCTGATGGATAACATTAGTCTTCTTTGCGGGGTATTGTGAATGGGAAAAATTGACGAATACAGATTCCATAGACATTTTGTCGTGCAGGTACAATTTTATTTAGCCTTTGTATAAAGCATCTCAAGAATTTATTCGACTGGCCCCTGTGTCCTTCTCTCAAGTGGAGACGAACAATTTCAGCATATGTTTTGTATGGTGAAATAGGCATTTGGAAGCGAACACAAACTATTACCCTCTTGTTACGGAAGGATTCAGAAACATACGCTTATGCATCTGACCCTTATATGAGGCTTGCTATTTCTTTGCTTACTGAGCTAATAGCCTATATCCGGTGACGCACTTAATCAGTATGACTTTGGAGCGGGTCAGCTATTTGTTTCCTTCAGCTATTTAGGGAGCATTGCTGCTGGTCAACACGGGATGGTTAAGAACGTCTAAGTTTGTAGCGGCACAAGTTGAACCTGTGTTTAACTAAAGTTGCCGTCACTCCAAAAGGAAGACATACGCATTTTTCTGCTTTCTGTGCGTCCATTTTCGCTTACTTTAATTGTACCTAAACTTTGCTTTTCTAAATGCTATAACTATTCTTTTTTATCCTGCCACTTGGAAAAACCAGAGAGCAGTCAGAACGGTAGAGTGCATTTGTTTTTATTTAGATTTTGAGACTCCTGTTCGTTTTTTCAGTTTGTTTTTATGTACTTGTGGACAAAAGGCTTTTCGTGGTCTTCGCCACTGAATACAATTCTTTGTCTCAAATAGAAAGAGAGTTTAAGCTGAAAAATTTTATACACTTGCCAATTACTTATCGCATTAGGTTAAGACATGGATGACCTGCATAAAGAAGATTTAACCAACCGTATACATCTTTTTTAGTTTTATCGATACCAATTAGACCGGTAACTCTTTAGCCTGTTTTTGTACGTACATTTGGTATCCACACTAATTTCCAGTTATTGATTAGAACATGCTAAAGAATCATCCTTTCTGTATAATGTACACCAAGTGCGAACGATGTGAAATGTCTGACACACCGCGAACGCAGCCTCTATTTCACTGTCAAACTTATATCGCAGCCCATGAAATTTTATTGGAATCATTCTGAAGCTATTACTTTCTGTCTTTTACTTTGCAAGATAATTTGTTTGAAGCAATTACATCCAAACACAGGTAGTATGCCTGTGTAGTTTACTGGACGATTGGGGACTTTTTTGTTCGGGGTAGGCATAGCCAGGTCTTTTGCTTTTGTAAACAGTGCATACAGTATACAGTGCAAGTAAAAATTATGGAGTGCACGCAAAATCTTGATAACATTTTAACTTGACATCTGCCTGGAGTGGGACCTTTACAAAATAAACTGCTCCGGAGGCATCACAACAGCGCTTCTGGTTATAAAGGAGAGAGAAAATAGAGTAGAGAGTAGAGTACTAAATAACTTTCCACCGTCTACTGTTCTGAAAGAGCCAGCGTTGCTGGTACAAATTAAATGAACAAATTGGAATGATTCTAGCATCGTTTACCTGGTAGGTAAATAATCGGGACTGTGTTTGAAAGTTTACTGACATTTTTTACTCCTACGGCCTAAAAAAGAGTTGTTCGCAAAGTACACGATATAAATGCATGACTATGTGTTTTCCTAAATTGAACAAAATGTCTGAGAAGGTGTTGCTTAACCGTATTTGCTTGAATATTCCCATGGTTTGAAATTTTCGGGATCATCAGGTCAGTGCATATCTAATGGTTAAAATAAGAGCGAAAAATAAAATACGCTACGAAGATTGGTTAGTGAAATGCAATGCAAAGGAGACACGAAAGATTGGTTGTCTGCGCCTCCCCCCATTTCGCATCTAGTTGGATGCTGTGAGACAGTGAAGAGGGCTGTTGAGTGACTTGGCCGGTTGATTTGTGTCACACGACCAAGGCAGACTCAGCGTTCGTACGAAACGTTTTTGACAGCACAGTACCGGGTTTCGCAGGCGTCTAGCGAGTGCCTCGGCCGTTGTCAAGCAACGTCGTTTAAATAGATACTGGTAGTCGATTTGGCACGCGGTAAATGATTTGAAATGACTCATTTGGCATAACTACGTGCCCGGTGTCAATTAGGTGGGATGCGATTGAGCTCCTGGCTGAACTGTTAAGGTTAGTGGTATTCCGGTAAGAAAGGTGCTCACGTATTCTCTTAAAAAGTTGCCGTGTCGTGCGCCCAACATACTCCACCGAACCGTATTTCATCCGCCATTCAGTTATTTGTTTTTAACTATTAATGATGGATGATGCAAGATAGAAATTCAGTAATAAAAGTTAATTTATTCTGTCCATTGGAAAGTGCACTTCTCTCAGATGATATCAACACGAAGCGTTGGTACGAGCGAATATATATGCATATATATATACGAACTATCCTCTGAATATAATGAATACTGATTGACTTTTTGAAGGAAGCAGCTCCATTCGCACCTACCTTATAGTGAAATTTGCAGGTTCTACATGTAAAGCGGAGCCTGTTGGTCGTAATGCATAAACCTAACAAAAAAATGGACAATAGTGCTACCAGTGTTTGAGGAGTTAGTGCAAACGTTGTGTTTTCAGGGAAGTTTGGGGACGATCTACACGAATTAGTCAAAATTCGGGGGTTGGTCCACACTCATACGAAGAACATCACAAAATAACATCACTAATTCATAGTGTACGTTCGTACTTGCAGAAATTTCTAACCTACTAACGGGTTTGCCTGTGACCTTGTACATATCATGTGATAAAATCGGCAACTACAGCCAGTTAAATCAACCAATCGGATTGTGGTATGTGTGGCAATTGATTGGCTGATAACCATGGGCGTTGAAACTGGGCTTACGAGGTGTATATACAGTAAAACAGCGCGTGGCCAGGTGTTTTGATGTCTCAGACATGAGCACGGAAAAGCGTATGTCAGTGTCTGTGACCAATGCTGCCCGGAGGATTTGCCTACCAGTAGACGGAAGTGCGCATTCAAGCAAAGCCGTAGAGTGGTATTTGGCAGAGCTATACAAACCTGGAGACTTTATCATATTTGTGCATTCACTTGAGGCACCAAACCTACCAACGGTGACCGTTGGTGCTGGACTGTCTCTCCCGATTGATAGCTGGACAAAAGCCTTGCAAGAAAAGTGAGTGCGTTTTTTTTATGTTGGTTGACCAAACAAGAAGTGTTCAACAACAAAAATGAATACTGATTGACTTTTTGAAGGAAGCAGCTCCATTCGCACCTACCTTATAGTGAAATTTGCAGGTTCTACATGTAAAGCGGAGCCTGTTGGTCGTAATGCATAAACCTAACAAAAAAATGGACAATAGTGCTACCAGTGTTTGAGGAGTTAGTGCAAACGTTGTGTTTTCAGGGAAGTTTGGGGACGATCTACACGAATTAGTCAAAATTCGGGGGTTGGTCCACACTCATACGAAGAACATCACAAAATAACATCACTAATTCATAGTGTACGTTCGTACTTGCAGAAATTTCTAACCTACTAACGGGTTTGCCTGTGACCTTGTACATATCATGTGATAAAATCGGCAACTACAGCCAGTTAAATCAACCAATCGGATTGTGGTATGTGTGGCAATTGATTGGCTGATAACCATGGGCGTTGAAACTGGGCTTACGAGGTGTATATACAGTAAAACAGCGCGTGGCCAGGTGTTTTGATGTCTCAGACATGAGCACGGAAAAGCGTATGTCAGTGTCTGTGACCAATGCTGCCCGGAGGATTTGCCTACCAGTAGACGGAAGTGCGCATTCAAGCAAAGCCGTAGAGTGGTATTTGGCAGAGCTATACAAACCTGGAGACTTTATCATATTTGTGCATTCACTTGAGGCACCAAACCTACCAACGGTGACCGTTGGTGCTGGACTGTCTCTCCCGATTGATAGCTGGACAAAAGCCTTGCAAGAAAAGTGAGTGCGTTTTTTTTATGTTGGTTGACCAAACAAGAAGTGTTCAACAACAAACCCAGAAACAGTTAAAAGGCTTATTCTGAGTTCATATGTGTAATTTAACTTTGACTACCACTCAATGTGAAAACACGTTCAGCTGTACCACTCTTTCGATGCCTAGCTGCTAGGCCACTCGGAGGAAGCCTAGACGGGAGAACTCGAGTGGTTGAGGTCGGGTTCGAACAACGGACCTTCCGGTCAGTAAATTCGCGCTCTAACCACTTGGGCCATCTCACCCCCCACTCAATTTACAAACTGGTACAAACCTGTTTAACAGTCGACAAGTCACGATACAAGTATTTTAAGCTTTATTACCGTGAAAACTCAAATCGATGGTGCTTGATAGTGCGCCAATTTTACCAGAAAATAATCCACGCAATCACTTTTGTACTAAGTGAGAAGCCCTACACCTCAAAAATACTCTCTGAAAAGGAAGAAAATTTTGTTAAATGCCCGATAAAAGATGGTTGACGACTGATTGTAGAAAGTTCCTGTCTCACAAATCGTAAAATCAGATTTTCTGCTTGGTTGGGGAGTAACGTGACCAGAAAATACAGAAGCTCAAACAAGACTGTTCTGGAGTATTTCTTCTCCCGGCGGATTTATTCACTGAATTGTAGTGGATGGATATGATTAGTATATTTGGTCTGAACACCCAACATTGGTCCTCTCATGCATTCTTGAGGAGGGGAATCGCACAAGTGTACAACAGATTGGAGAAAGCGTAAGCACTCTCTGATGGATACACATCATCGGCTCCCAAAAAAAAATTTCCTTATGAGCTCAAAAACTGACGGTATTGGACCTGAAGTAAGACATCATCATTTTGTATTAGTTGCCTCAAACAAATTAGTCAGTATGCACTAAAGAGGTCACAATGGGACATCTCGTTTGAAAGTGGCTTTACCTGACATGCCTATATTTTCACTGTGGACACCGCTCCAAGAGTACTTGACATTTTCTCCATAGTAGGAATTGATGGTTTCATATACGTGAGAAGTCCTGGTACTTTGCTGCAACTGTATAGAAACGTATGGGCTGTGACCTGCTGTACGACCATGTAAGTCAAGTTAGCGAAATTCCGTGGAATGGCAGGATCAAAAGAATCTGAAAAATGGGATTCGTTGCCAGCTTAGTTTAAACAGCACTGGTTCTCAGTCACACATCACTCGACCCGGGAATAGGAGTTAAATTTAGTTTGAAGGCGAGCATTAGGGTACATTTGACCGCGCCTATACCGCAATAAAATTACCGTTGGTTTCAAAGATGCGGCAAAAGCCTGCAAACTGAAAAAACCACAGCCAACTTAACCTCACCGAGCGTTATTTTCTGAATATTTCGACCATAGCCCTCAAAAGGTTTGCTTCCAAAACTCATTCCGCAAAACCTGTACCGTCAGCAGTTTTATCACATAGACTAGAATTTTTTTGCATAATTTTTGCGCATCTACGTCCTCCATTCTATCACTTTTGACCCCTGTATCTTCCAACACTCTTCCTGAATTAGAAACAATCTCGGGATCACTAACATTAATTTTGGTCACATCTGGTGCTAATCCATGTTATCCTAAGTTGTTTCCTCAGCTTAGTTGGCTTTTATATGAGCTCATGCGGTATTTCAGTACTCTTTGTGACATTTTGGTTTGGCCAGTTTTTTAGGTCACGATCGGTTGATTTTCGTCAATCAGGACTCAAACAACAGGATTTTCATGGGGTTTAAGACATCCCTTTGGGCTTGGATTCCACAAAATATAGTTTCTTCTAATATGGAGATTCAAAATGAAAATATGCGGGACAGTTTTTTACTCATTGGACGAATAGTACTTTCCTTGGCGTTTGTCCTGGTTATTTGTCCCAAAACGGATTCTTTCAAAACACACTTGAAGGCTCGACCAAAAGAGTGCCTATTCATGCATGCTATTATTTATTTTGGTTTGAATGTTTTAACTGCTTCCATGAGTAAACAATTGCGTTTACAACAAACTGGATTTCAGAAAGTTAACTACAAGGTTTCGCCGTTTGCTTGCATCCCGATTTCGAATGACTGCTTTTTGAAGGACTTTGTTTTTGTACCTCCGCAAATTCGTGCCTCCGGTAGTCTGTACATCTTATCTCAAAATCCGGCTAGCTTTCACTGAAGTATCGCAAATAAGGCCCGAAAGTCTTGCGAAGATTTTCTTCTCATTACGTTAATTTGTGAGGGCTTTAAGTAGAAGTTATAAGGAACAGTGTAATTTATGGGTTGCAGTACGGTACTTTGAAGGGAACCTTGGAACGCCCACCTGATAACATCGAAGCAAACACACTATTCGTTGAGAGGAGGTAACCTTAACATGTCATTCTTGGGGATGACGTCGGAACTTGAAGTACCTTGGTTTGGGGACGTTTCCGTGGATGAACATGTAACGTGGATACCGATGGGTGTTTCTGATCACATTCGCCCTTCTCGCCTCTTTGTAATTCTTATATACAAAACCTACTGTGTTGTATACCTGGAATAATGCATATCTTGTCAAGAAAAATCTTTGAGAGTAATCAAAAACTCTCTTCATTTAGAAAATAATGTGCCGCATCTACTTTTATTTTAAGGTTTACATTGTCACTGAATGATAAGCAAACTGCTGAACAGGATGTGAGTGATATATTTATTTGCTGTGTGATCGCGCAGCATCTTGAGGCGTGAAACGAATATAATATGTACACCTAATTGAATCACAAAATCAAGATCCGGCATAACAACGCATATCAGCTAAAAGGCTCATCTGGAAGAGACATAAGAAAAACGGGAGCACGTTAAATACTCTATCGTAAGACTGATGTCATCCATATAGACGTAGGCGGATTCATTTTCATCGACGTTATCATAAACTATCAATGAGTAGGACGTAGTGTTTTCACATGTTGCAAATCAAAACTAGTAGTCAATTGGGGACATGATTATCACTGCGTTTTCTTTATCCAAATTAGGCTTCTCAAATGTAGTTTACCCCGCACAACGCGAAAATTTTCCCCCGTCTCCCCAAGCTTCAGCTGTAGACATAGGAGCACAATGACCGGACGTGCGAATCATCCTGGCCCTTAAAAACGTACGCAGCTTCTAAGCTATAGATATTTTAATAAACTAAACATATTTGGTGATCTTCGGACTTATCAAGGACTATTTGGGGGCATTTCCCTAATAACATCTATTAGAAACTGACTTCTCCTAACCAGAATCACTTTGATCCGAGTTATGGCTTGCGGCTGATTCCAATACGTATGTCGTCTATTAAGTCCTGTTAAATTCATATCGCGTGTTTTTTAGATGCATATTTTAGTCGAAGAAACGGTAGACTGAAATGCATTTGCAAGTGGGTTTCTGATCTCATCAGGAATTTCACCTCTGTACATAGACGCATGGAACAGAAGTGGTTTTCTTGGACATGTGCTAATTCTAAGTACGGGCAGACCAAAATCTGTCACTTTCAAAAATATCAAGGAATGTGGACTGTATATTGGTAAACATGGAATCACCAGAAAGGACAGTTTATCTAGAAATTGCACACAAACACATCATCATCCACTGAATAGATCTGTGTTCATCACATGTAGAACGCTATGAAATGCTTTAATTTCAAATATCCAGGTGATATATTGAATTAGCCCTGAATCCGATCTCCACTCCAGTAACTAGATAGTTTCCAAGGGAGGGCACCTTCAAAAGAAGTTAACCACGATCGATCCTTCGATGACTCATTCGTCTGCTTGTGAATAACCCACTTAAAGTGATTGAAGGAATGGTCACTTTCGAAATGTTGTCCCCCATGAAGCCAGCTTCTGGGGCTCACTGCTCTCAAGCAGCCTTCATCCAATGACGAAATCGCGAAGGGTAGTTCTGATCCACCTTTATAAAGAATACATTATGGAATCATATTTACGACGAGCATGTAGCCCTTTTTTAAACCGCCGTTTTAGGAGAGCATTGGTGGTTATGAATACAAGATACATTTATTTTGGAATCCATGAATAGGATCACATTATCACTGTAGCCAGATACACTGATGACAGCATGTCTATACGGTCATTAGAAAAGGTTCTTTGAAGGGCAAAAACTCTGCATTTAAGGCTCTTCAGACATTTTTCCAGTGCTGTTATTGTTAAGGATGCTTTGCACCCGACACAGATTTGCTAGACACCCGCCCATGTCCATCGTTTGCCTAAGACAGAATATTTTACGGTGAATATACCGACGCTTGGATATAAAGTGTAAGAAATAAGATAGGCAGGAAAACAAGCGGGTGTTTGTTGGTAGATATTGGTCGGCTTTAGCAAGACAGCCTCACAGTGAGAATTATTTCCACATTAACCAGTGGGATGCGAAATCATCCGTCAGTTCCTTTATATTTCAGTATAATGTACCGCACCGAGAGCCGATGGGTATCGATGTTCACCGCGCCCATATAGGTAGCCATTCGCCAGCTACCTTTCCAGCACATGATTTTCTCATGGTCGAGATTAAATTTATTGCACCGCACACTCACACAGTCGGACTGTAAATTGTGGTTTTGAAACTGGCCAGTCTTTCCTTAGCTGCTCACGTGATACTTTTGTGGAAATTCTATCTTACGTCACGCGTTCCACATTGACTCACTGGGACAGCTGGCTACGAATTAGGACACTCTGAAATCCACAGAATTTAGCAATTGGAGAAATCAGGTTCTGAATCAGTCTGACCGGTGTGCGGTTTCATTTTCTGCAGACGTTGTAGGGAAGACAGGTCAAGAATCGGGATATATCTCGGGCAAGCTACGCACGACTCGCTGTCGTAATAAAATGTAACGGATGCAAAAGCAGGTTAAATTGCAATTTTTGTCCACTCAAGAATGAAAGTTGCTCAAAATGCGTTTTCGCTGCCTCCAACTGCGAAGCTATTGTTTGCTATTTGGGTGATCAAAACTGTCGGTCATTTGGCCAACATCAG